ACTCTTGTTCGTAATCTACATAAACGATCTAGATACTGGGATTAGCAGTGACAAAAGCAAGTTTGCGGATGACACCAAAATAGGGCGGCAGATTAATTCAGGGCAGGATGCAAATGCACTACAGGAGGATTTGAATAAACTGCAGGAGTGGTCAGAAAAGTGGCAAATGAAATTCAACACTAGCAAGTGCAGCGTACTTAATATTGGAAGAACAAATACTGTCATGTATACAGCCTTAACAACATCAACCTAGAGAAGTCGACTTGTGAAAGAGACTTAGGGGTACTTGTAAGCCCGGACCTACGGCCTAGAAAACAGTGTGTTAATGTTCGAAATAAGGCAAACAAAGTATTAGGTTTTATATCTAGAAGTGTAAGTAATAAGAGTGCAGAGGTCTTATTGCAACTATATCTTGTGCTAGTCAGGCCGCACCTCGATTATGCGGTTCAGTTCTGGTGCCCTTATTATAGAATGGATATCAATTCACTAGAGTCGGTGCAGCGAAGAATGACGAAAATGATTCCGGGACTTAAAACCCTTCCATATTAAGTAATTAAGTGGGTGAAAGGAATCAATAAAGGAGATATAGATAAAGTTCTCATAATATCCGTGCACGATTGGACTCGTAGCAACGGATTTAAGTTGGATAAGTTTAGGTTTAGGAGGGAGATAGGAAGGAACTGGTTCACAAATAGGGTGGTGGAGTGGAACAAGCTTAGCAACTTTTTAGTAAGTGCTGGAACGCTGGAAAGTTTTAAAAGGAGGTTAGATAGATTCATGAATGATAGAGAGTAACTCTCGATAGAATCTGCCATGCACAGGCCAACCGGCCTATTGCAGAAATGTATCAAACTAAAACACGAGAAAAGATTGGACCAATACGGTCAGATACCGGCGAGCTCACTGATAACGACGGAGAAATAAGCAATAATTTGAATAAATATTTTTCAACAGTTTTCACCACCGAAAATGTAAACATGATACCCGAGGCACCGACTCTATTCAGAGATGTTGAAGAAAACAACTTAGCGAGATAGTAGTGACTAGTAACGATGTTAGTAAGCAAATAGATAAACTAAAGCCTGATAAGTCACCTGGTCCTGATGAGATATTTGCCAGAGTATTAAAGGAATGTAAGGAAGAGCTTAGTATGCCCTTAGCAAAGTTGTTTAACATGTCCTTAAATACAGGTGTAGTACCAGAATCCTGGAGGATAGCGAATGTAATACCGATTTTCAAGAAGGGGGATAGATCACTATCCTCTAACTACCGCCCAATCAGCCTAACATCAATAGTAGGCAAATTACTTGAATCAATCATTTCAAACTCTATTCGAAACCACCTGGAGAAGGACAAGTTGATCAATGATTCCCAACATGGCTTCACAAGCGGGCGTTCATGTCTAACTAATCTATTAACATTCTTTTCATCAGTTTTCGAATCGGTGGACGAGGGGCACAATTATGATGTGGTATATCTCGACTTTAGCAAAGCCTTCGACAGAGTCCCCCACGAAAGACTAATTAGAAAGGTAGAAGCACATGGCATCAAAAGTAATATCCTTAAATGGATTAGGGCGTGGTTACAGGACAGGAAACAGCGAGTGAGCATTAATGGCACTAAGTCCCATTGGAGCAACGTCACTAGTGCATAGACAGCGACATAAGTAAATTTGCTGATGACACTAAAATAGGACGTGTTATTAAATCTGACGAGGACTCCGCAAAACTACAGGAAGATCTAAACAAATTCTTCGAATGGTCTGAAAAATGGCAGATGAAATTCAACGTGGACAAATGTAAAGTACTCAGTATAGGAGATGTAAACAGGGAAACCAGATACCAGATGAACAACGATGCCATAGAGAAATCCGACTGCGAGAGAGATTTAGGAGTAATGATAAGTAGGAACCTTAAGCCAAGTAAACAATGTGTTTTTGCTCGTAACAAGGCTAATAAAGTACTTGGGTTCATACAAAGGAGTGTTAGTTACAAGACTAGCGAGGTCATCCTAAAACTTGTGAGACCACACCTGGATTACGCAGTTCAGTTCTGGTCACCGTATTACAGAATGGATATAGAATCCTTGGAAAGAATTCAGAGGAGAATGACAAGACTAATCCCGGGCATTAGGAACCTTGAGTATAGAGACAGGTTAAAGCATCTTAATTTGCACTCCCTCGAGAGACGTAGAGCGAGGGGCGACCTGATAGAGGTGTATAAATGGAAGTCAGGGCTAAACAAAGGGGACATTACAAAGGTACTCAAACTTTCCAACCAGGAGCAAACTCGTAACAATGGTTTTAAATTAGACAAATTTAGATTTAGGCGCGAAATAGGTAAACACTGGTTTGGAAACAGAGTAGTGGATGAGTGGAACAAGTTGCCAAATATCATCATTAACTCGAATACGCTGAATAGCTTCAAACATAGGTTGGATGCTTATATGAGCAATGGGGGTTGGGTGTAAACGGGACTGCCCAGTATGGGCCACTAGGCCCGCTGCAGTTTCCTCCATTCTTATGTTCTTATATGTCTATAACACTGCCGCCATGTGCCTCAGTACTCGGGGCATCACAGCTGCTCATGATGTAAGTCACGGCACCACCTATACACAATTCCAGTGCTGCGACAATTTTGTTCGTTGTGGTGGAGCAGTTAACACCATATACGGCACCGTGGCCAGGGGCGGGGAGACTGACCCGCCATCTGCTTCTCTTGTACCATCTTGGCCATATTAATGAATATTTCGTCAAACCAATAATCAAGGTCTTGCCGTAATTGAAGAGGTAGACGCCGTCACAAGATGCTGAGCGATTCACTACCTCCTGAACAGTACCGAGCACCACAAACTCCCCCTGGAAACCATTAGGCCAGAGAGTAGACAGTGAGTCTGTCTCACACCATCGGCGGTTGCTGGGGGCGGCTTGGTGCAACACTGCTGGATGAACACTGTGGGAGACTGCCTGTGGACACGTGCTGCGTCATATCCTAATATAGGAGAGGCGACCAGGACCTGCGGACGCTCACGAGGTGGACCCCGGGTGTACTCCACGCCTCCCCACCCACCTCTAAGGTGTTATGTTTTGCAGCAAGTTTATTGCCTTACTATGGTTTAGTTGGTTCTAAAAATAATTGAATTAACCATGTTGTGCCAGACTCACACCACAGTATACAAGTTCAGAAGAGAGTGTAGTTGTGGTGTCTTTGTGCACCACGCCGTGTGTTTAATTGGAGTTGGATTTAGGGACCTGCCACCTGACCCCAGCTACTTCACCACCCAGACGACGGGGGAAGGGAATGGGGTTGGGGGGGGGGGTCTCCACTCCCATTTCAGTCAGGTTGACCGCGCTTCTTTAAGACACTCAGGTGATGTATCTAACAACTTAGACAAAGAAGGTGAGGAGTATGGTTTAAAGGCTGCTGTACTTTATACCCATCACCTCTGTCTGGCCTGGTACACACTACGGTTATATGGATATAAAGAACCAGTCAGTTCTCATCATTAGAAGTGTGGGAGAATAATAATCTTATCTGGTGTGGTCTCTCTGGTCCATATATAGTGAGAATCTTTTATGGTGTTCCGTGGTCCGCGGTCCACCACCACACTCCCGGCATTAAGTTTAAAAGGTTTATTTACTACCTCCTCATCTCACTTGCATAATCCACTCCGAATATCATTAATTTACGGTATTGTACAAAGATTTCTCCATCATAACTGCGCTAACACTAAACATTATCAAAGTACAAGATTAGGTTAAATCTTGAATATACAGTAATGATCTGGGCGGGGGCTTAATCTTCAGGTGATCCAGCGTAACACATTGAAGTCACTCGTAAAGAAAAGCAGGTCATTAATGCATCAACTATCACGGCGGGAAGACTGTGTGTGTGTGTGTGTGTGTCAGACGGCTGACAATGGGAGTCTCACAGGACAACCACGATACCTTCTCTCCCATACCCTCCTGTCTCACTCTCTCCTACCCTCCTTCTCCGTGCGGTTATCGTGTACTCACCATCATCACACACTTCCTACCGTGTACTCACCGTGACCATAACACTACTAACACACTGGGTCACCATCCTCACCTGTGGAAGAAAAGAACAAATGTAAGTTAATTGCAACCGACCATCAAAAGTTAAACACAAACACAGTAATTCATAGCAAAATACTGTACACTGGTTTGGAAACAGAGTAGTGGATGAGTGGAACAAGTTACCAAATATCATCATTAACTCGAATACGCTGAATAGCTTCAAACATAGGTTGGATGCTTATATGAGCAATAGGGGTTGGGTGTAAACAGTACTGCCCAGTATGGGCCAATAGGCCCGCTGCAGTTTCCTCCATTCTTATGTTATGTTCTTATCCCTAAAACTGTTATTAAGTTATATGTAATGATCTAACGTAACCTAACAGTAATTATATATAACTTACTACAAGTTTTAGGGATTTCATGAATTCACTGATTACACATTGTAAAATATACACAGCTACCCACCCCCCAGCCCACCCCGACCCACTCCCGTACAGGGAGGGGTGGCTGACCACACCTAGTGAAGTAAAGGCGGCCACACCTAGTGAGGTAGATTTGGGTGGGTCACCTCACCTAGTGAGGTATAGGCGGCCACACCTACCCAGAGGGAGGCCAAGGGAGGGAGGGGCAGGAAATATGTAGGTCACCCAGTATGACCATGGGGGGGAGGCAATAATCTCTCTCTCTCTCTCTCTCTCTCTCTCTCTCTCTCTCTCACACACACACACACACACACTGCCGCTGTTAAGAACCGTGGATTTATTCTCCACTAACTTCACCGGGACCCGTGTGTGTGAGGGAGGTGTACTGTACGTGTGAACACTTTTTACAATATAAACTATTATTCTTCTCAGTTAGATATAATACTCAATGGCAGGTTTACTTAAGTTCCCAGTATAAGTTTTTGAAGAAGACATCAACATAAACTGTGTTACCTTTATCAAACTCTCATTCTCTACCACAGGTGAACATCCAAAGAAAACGGGCGACTATGGAGGTGTGAACATCTCAGCGGAGTTATCCTTAGCTCATCCCAGAACTCTTAGAAAACGGCGGGAGTGAGGTGTGGTCTACCCGTGGACTCCAGAAGTCTGGGGATCTCGTGCGAGGCTAGACGCAGGTACCATTTCCGTAAAAACTTCTATATTTTACTTGTCTCATTCAGACATCCATCATATCAGCGAATGGCATAGGTTATGTATTCAGTAATATTCCAGGAAATTTGAACTTTGTTTATATTCTTGATTCAATATTGGGAAAAATGAAATTTTGATAAATTCTTACAGCAACATCGTTCATCCAGCTTTTGTTGTGCGTAACCCCACGGCCTCCTGAGACGCGCCGCCGCCTTATGCACAAGAGACGTTGGAGCTAATATTCCGTGGAGTAGAGGCCAGCCCCATCCCTCCACGGAGCGGGCAACCGACACCCTTACGGTAGGTTGTACTACGTTGGACTGCGTAGATCTTTTCCTGGGCCAAGCCTCGTAAAACTGCCCGAGGGCACTACACCTTACCTGGCCACACTGCTCGTAGGATGACGCTAAGACCTGCAGCCACCCACTCTCCCATTAGACATGCTCGTCTTTCCGGGTGTTCCCCATCACAATAACGCGAGAACAGGCACGTAAGCTCATACGAAAATCTCTGTTCTTAGATCCAAGTTTCTGATTTCTCGTAGATTCATAGTTTCATTTTCCCTTCGCTTTAGACATATTGATTCACGTGCCCGACACAAACACAATACCCTTCTGTAAATAACAACAACTGTCTTTCATGAAAGGGAATAAATTTATCGTAACTTTGAGAATCTCGAGTGTCTGGAGGTTGGTGTAATGGGTGACGTCACAAGGTATATGACCCGAGGCTGATGGGGAAACTCCGCGCCACACCTGTGTTTACCTGGACTCACGGAGCCCTGGGTGTTGCGTCCTGAAATATAAAACTCTCTTATTCACAATAACAGAGTTTGTTTACTCTCTCTCCCTTTCACAACAACCACACATTGTATCTCTGTCCCTTCCACAACAACCACACCTTGTATCCCTGTCCCTTTCACAACAACCACACCTTGTATCCCTGTCCCTTCCACAACAACCACACCTTGTATCCCTGTCCCTTCCACAACAACCACACCTTGTATCCCTGTCCCTTCCACAACAACCACACCTTGTATCCCTGTCCCTTCCACAACAACCACACCTTGTATCCCCGTCCCTTCCACAACAACCACACCGTACGTTCACCTGTTTTCCCCGTTGTCAATTATTTTCTCTTCCTCAAATAACAAATATTTATCACCTGAAGGTTAGCCACCCTAACTAACGCTACCTTACCTCCATATAGCGTTAGGGTGGTTAATTTTCAGGTGTAATAAGCTGGGGTGCTTAAGTTTCAGCTGACCTCAAATGTTTCTTACCTCGCCCCCCTTACGCCTCCCCACACGGCCACGTCACGCTGTGTTCGTCACCGCTGCATTTCCACAACTCACGACCACCGACCGACGTGACCTGACCCAACAGAAACTGCCGACTGACCGATGCACGGATGGCCGGCAGCACGCACGTCACAGCACTAGATCACACGTCTTCACCCGCCCAACACCTTGATAACCACACCTAGGAAACCCATTACCACTGACAGGGGGAACACGCGTTTACTGGTAACATACTGGATGCTTCCCTCGTCTTCCTTCTCTTGGCTCTTCAGCAATAAGGCGCCGCCACTGTGACCGCCATTGATGTTTGATTAAGAAACTGGAGGCCGTCCATGACTCTGTTGCCTCTTGAGCCCTCAAAGAGACTTCCTGTTCACTCTTAATACTCGTCTTTTTAATTTTTCACTCGTTATGACGTGAATGGTCGGCGGTAACATACCCAATGTTAGGCATTCGTGAGGGAGGACCATCGATCTACGAACCTGGGGTAGGGGTCGACGTGAAAGGTAATATTGGGTGGGTAATTCCTTCCTTCTCCTATGTTTGTCTGATAATGGTAGATAACACGAGGTAGAGGAAAGGTAGACATTCTACTCCGGTCACGACACACACACACACATCGGTTTTGGATAACTTTTCAGAGTTAAAATCCCCAGGACCCTAGATCTCCTCCCAGCCTCTGGAGCCTCTGACCCATACGACCACTGACAGCACTTGCCTCCTCCATCTCACCTCACCCTCAACAACTTGGTACTTTACTCTCACATGATCATCTCCCTCCTGTAGTAGATACACCCAGGTCATCTCTGCCTCCTACAGTAGATACACCCAGGTCATCTCTGCCTCCTACAGTAGATACACCCAGGTCATCTCTCCCTCCTGCAGTAGATACACCCAGGTCATCTCTCCCTCCTGCAGTAGATACACCCAGGTCATCTCTCCCTCCTACACTAGATACACCCAGGTCATCTCTCCCTCCTGCAGTAGATACACCCAGGTCATCTCTCCCTCCTGCAGTAGATACACCCAGGTCATCTCCCTCCTACACTAGATACACCCAGGTCATCTCTCCTCACTAGATACACCCAGGTCATCTCCCTCCTACACTAGATACACCCAGGTCATCTCTCCCTCCTACACTAGATACACCCAGGTCATCTCTCCCTCCTGCAGTAGATACACCCAGGTCATCTCTCCCTCCTACACTAGATACACCCAGGTCATCTCTCACTTTAATTTAATTCCCATCTACCCGCCCATCATATCTCTATCCCCCACACCCACTTATAATCTCCGTAGGCCCACCCACTTCCCCGCCCACTCCACATCTCGAGGATCACCGTGCCCGCCCCCCACAACCTAACATCGTAAGCGGCTTTCCCGACAGATTTGCACATTTTAAGACATTTCTCCGGAAAGTGATGAAAGTACAGCCAGGAGAGTATAGGGCGTTACAGAACTTCCACTTAATATCCTTACAGACAAAAATGGAATCACCTGAAGAATCGTCACCCCAGATCACCTGAAGATTCGTCACCCCAGACTTTAACAGTGCTCCAATTCTTCAGGTGACACTCTAGGGGTGACGATACTTCAGGTGAGGTTAGGTTAGCTTATATTGCTTGTGGGCGGGTGATGATTGTTCAGGTGATCTCAATAATGTATATGGTAATTTATATATTTGTATAGAAATGTTTTCGTGTGAGTTAGTAATAGAAATTAAACAGTGACTTATAAAAACAGTGATTTATAAACCAAGAATTATTGTTCATGGCCTCTATATTATGGTAAACCTCACACTGCATAGAGACAGACTCACACAAACAACAGAAGGTGTGGCTCGTGCAAGATGTGGCCAGCTGAGTATTGTAGTTCTGCAGTTAGTGAGTGTTGTGAGGGAGAGGTGATTCAGGGTGAGTTGAGTAGCATGTTAGGTTAGGTTGGGTTGAGTTAGAGTAGATTAGGTTGGGGGGGAGGATAGGTTAGGTTAGTTAGGTTAGAATAGATTAGGACAAATTTCTTCGCAATAACATTGACTATAATATTTTTCCCTGTGAATTCTTTATCAACGTTCACTGTACAGTATATCCACAGGGGTGCTGACGGTGGGCGGGACAAGGTGAGGCGACGCTACAGTAATTGTCACCTGCACGAGACAGACAGAGAGACAGATGGTCGCCGCCCAGCAAACACGACGCCACACCCCCCCATCTGACGACAGCCAAGCCTAAGATGTATGGGCGTGTTGAGACTCGCCCACTCTCTCACTGTTACCAAAACGACACCAGAGGAGACCTAGGCCGTAGTGAGGTGTGTGTGTGTATGTAATAATAATGTGTGGGGGGCTAAGAGGGTCATTGTCAGGGCCTCTTCCCTCTCCACACCAGTGATCCCAGTAACACGCCTCTCATCGTGGCTGGAGGTGATGAACATGTGGGGCAGATAACAGGTCTGGCATCGTGGGAGTGTGGTGGTGGTGCCCAGGGCGGTGTGGCTGGAGGGTGGGAGAGAGCGGGAGTAACATTGTGGTTCTCATATACAAATTGCACAACTCATCCTCCTCATACCAACATTACTACGCCGCCGACAGCAAAACACACACACACACACACTAACTTTCTCACTAATTAAATTGCTCGGTGAGAACGCTACTTGTTATTGCGTCCCAGACCTGCAGCCCTCCTAGCCCATTTCCTTGCTCTGCTTCACTACAAAAACGAAAACTTTGTCAACACTAACTCAGGAACAACACTGCTGTCTGTAGTTTATGTACTGAACGTTATGTATATATATATATACTGTACTCGGATCAAATAAAGTTTTACAATATTTACACCTTTAATCCAACGACAGATCCCTGGGTTAAGTGTAAGTTAGGTGTAAATGATGAAGGTAGATACTGGAAGGTGATGTGGAGGGGGATATGAGATGTGGAGGAAGGTATGGAAGTGGAGAAAGGCATTGGAGTGGAGGAAGGTGTTGACTACTGGTGTAAAGTAGAAGAAGAACTGGGCAGCTGGTGTGGTGGAGGGGCGAGGCAGCCGCAGATAATTGTTCACCCCCTACACTGCATGACGTGACCCCACCCCAAGTACTCGCCAGCGACACACCACATATGAACCTTGCAGCTGTTCACTGTGATACATCACCCTCAGGTCCTCTCAGGCGAGCTACTGGTTAATCCTGTGTGTGGTGTATGGCAGCAGACGCCCGCCACCATACACGGAGGGCCAGGGATGCTGTATATGGCGATGACCTGCCTGGATTTGTGTTAACTAAGGAGGGTCTTCATCCTTTATGGCGAGGGTTTTAGTGCAGCCCATATGCAGGAGGCTTTCACTCCACAACGGCGGCGGGTGACTAACTTAACCAAATTAGCAGAGGGGTGTTGACTGTCGAGCTGAGGCCGTACAAGATAAGTGCAACAGGAAACTGACTTGTTGCAGCTATAATACGAGTGTCACTTGAACTCACCCTGAATGTGAAAGACGTACACATTCACCCAACGTATATAATAACCTAACCTAACCTGCTCTATGTTTGTGTATAATGTAGTACTTACTTCTGCTTGAATAAAGGTGATAACATCCACACGCACAACTACACAAACATTTCGTAGGTGAAACTTTAACACCATCGTACACAATGATCCATCAGTGACGACAAAGACAAAATATGTAAGATATGAATGTATAAGAGATGACCTTTTGCTTGGCACCACCACACACACCGTCACCGCCTCCTGCAGTGTGTTCCTGCCTCTTGAGTCACCACACACACGATACCAACACAATGAAATAAGCTAATTCTTCCCAAACCACAAAATAAAATTACAGTTATTTTTCCTAAACCACTGACACAAATTACTGTTATTGTTTCCACATCCACTTTACATTGATAATGGATAAATGTAATTTGTGAGAACTTGTACAAAAAGATATATATATAACACATTGCAGTACGAATTTTTGGGGGTAATTTTTTTGTGTGTAAAATATGGATGAGAGGCATTGAATTTTGTGAGAGTCTGTTAGGGAGCCGAAGTGAGAGTGCGTTTGAGGAAAGGTATGTGTGTGTGTGGGGGGGGGGGCGTACTGGTGTGGCCTGAGAGATGAGCGAGTTCCCACGGTATGTGCGTCAAGACCTCATCACCGCCTCAACCGTAGAGAAAGATGATGGTGACCCACACACTGGTCACTCCCCATCTCCCCCCTCCCCCCACACTACACCTTCACACTCCAATGACATCCACAGAAAATAAAAAGAAGTTATAGGTTATGAGATGCTGTAGATGCGTGAGAAGACGAGTGAGGTGTGTGTGTGGGAGGCAGAGGTTGAGTGAGGAGCCGCCATCACCACCTCCCTGCTCGTCATTAATTACCCAAGCCACGTCACGCCCAGTAAGAAAACTGCCACCTCGGTTGTATTTATGGCTACCACACAGCCATCTACGGCCACACGACGCCCATTGTCTTCGTTCCGGCGGGTTGTGGTGGTGGTGGCAGGAGGAGAGAGGAAGGGGGTGGTGTCTTTCGTGGCCAGACGGAACTGGACGTGGGACACATTTCATAATTCACCAAATATTTACCTCACTGGTTATGTACGCTTGCTATTACACTGTATATATACCTATTATGTATTTTATACCAGTTATGTATATCTGCTATGTACAGTACACCTGCCGAGTAATATTTAATCATTTTGTGAAGGTTTTACATTTTGGTCCTTGTGATAGTTACCTTATATCGGGAGGTACTGTGTGTGTGTGTGTGTGTGTGTGTCTTATAATGGCAGGTGGGCGTAACTGCTTCACAGGTACCTCATCATCGCCTCACTTCATTAAGACGATGGTGGGCAGGAGAGTGTGGCGGACAGGAAATAAGGACACCCACCTATGGTCACCTCCAGTACTCGACCGCGAAACTCAATTTACCACACAAACAACCACTTCCGTACCTTGTTTTAAGAGAGAGAGTGAGAGAGGTACAGACAGAGAGAGAGAGAGAGAGGGGGGGGGGAGAGGGGCAGACAGAAGGAAAGAGGAGGCAAACAGACAGACATACAAAGAGACCACCACCATCATCATCATCATCATCACCATCATCATCATCATCATCACCATCATCATTATTATCATCATCATCATCCTAGCATTCATAACAGCCCAATCTGCTATAACAAGTGGTGGACTAACTTAACACCTGTGGAAGGGTGAGGGGTTACCTGGCCACCACAACCTGACGGACCACACACGACAACGACTTCCCTTCACCATCTCCCTCCCTTTTCCTCCTGTGTCACTCCGCTCACCACGCCGCCCACACCACACAGGTTGATGATGACGCCTCAAACTCTCTGCCCACCAGGTATACATTTCTTAATTAAGGTAAAAAAAAAAGAAAGCAACTTAGATATCAGGTAAGTTACATCATCCACCTACTAGGCGCTGGGGTGTCGGGTGAGGCACTACAGGCGTCTCCCACCACTGCTATGAACCTGATTTACATAGGAGTCAGTCTTACACACACACAGGAGTCAGTCTTACACATACACAGGAGTCAGTCTTACACACACACAGGAGCCGGTCTTACACACACAGGAGTCAGTCTTACACACACACAGGAGTCAGTCTTACACATACACAGGAGTCAGTCTTACACACACACAGGAGCCAGTCTTACACACACAGGAGTCAGTCTTACACATACACAGGAGTCAGTCTTACACATACACAGGAGTCAGTCTTACACATACACAGGAGTCAGTCTTACACATACACAGGAGTCAGTCTTACACACACAGGAGTCAGTCTTACACACACACACAGGAGCCAGTCTTACACACACAGGAGCCAGTCTTACACACACACAGGAGCCAGTCTTACACACACAGGAGTCAGTCTTACACAGGAGCCAGTCTTACACAGGAGCCAGTCTTACACATACTGTACACAGGAGCCGCCAGTCTTACATAAACTTAACCTAACCTTAACCGCACAAACAAAAGCTATTCTAATTAAATGACGAAGAACGAAAACAAAAAAGTGCCTAAAAAGTGTAAATAGTCGACCAGCCGGTGTTTAGTGTGAGGGACGACACGCTCCCTAAACACACTGCTTTATGCTGCCTTACCTAACGCACTCCTCCACACACTCACTCCAAGGATGATGTGTGTGAGTGGTTATAACTGTCGCTTTAACACTGACTGGTTCATGACAGGGACGCCTTAACACTGACTGGTTCATGACAGGGACGCCTTAACACTGACTGGTTCATGATAGGGATGCCTTAACACTGACTGGTTCATGACAGGGACGCCTTAACACTGACTGGTTCATGACAGGGACGCCTTAACACTGACTGGTTCATGACAGGGACGCCTTAACACTGACTGGTTCATGACAGGGATGCCTTAACACTGACTGGTTCATGACAGGGACGCCTTAACACTGACTGGTTCACGACAGGGACGCCTTAACACTGACTGGTTCATGACAGGAACGCCTTAACACTGACTGGTTCACGACAGGGAGTGTAGGAACATGAAGGTGTATTAACTTGGGTATACAGGAGGTGAATTCAGTGTAGCATCACACCACAACACCCCGTCACAACACACCACAACACCCCGTCAAAACACCCCATCACACCACAACACCCCATCACACCACAACACCCCATCACACCACAACACCCCATCACACCCCGTCACACCACAACACCCCGTCACACCACAACACCCCATCACACCAAACGAATGTAACTTCATCATTAGAAACCCTCCCTTTCTCCCTCTCCCTCCCTCCCTCTCAGCTTCACTCTCCGTTGAAACACGCCCCCCTCCTCTCTCCTTTCCCCAGGTCTTCCCCCAGAAAAGCCTAAACTACAGCAATCATGACTAAATTACCCGGATCTATGTGTGTTGAGGATCCCCCCAGGTAAGTATGTTTCTAAACAGTGGTATGATACAGGACAAAGCCGTCAATAACACCAACAGTAAATAAGGTAGAGCGACACATACACACACACACACACACACACACACACACACACACACACACACACACACAAAAGACCCGGTGAATAAAAGATGTCCCAGACGCGTGTGTATGTTTGTGGATCCCTGTACTGTGCCCCAGCCAATAAAAAAAATTGTATTAGCATATGAAGTAACAAATAAAAGGGACTAAGCTCTCTCTCCTTGGGCTACTGACAGGGTGAGGTGGGGTAGGGTATTGCGGGGTGGGGTAGGGTATTGCGGGGTGGGGTAAGGTAAGGCGGAACAAGTTTGATTGTACTGTATTAATATCATCTGCAGTCATAATGTTAAAAAGAGTAGCCCCACACGCCTTCTAATGAATAGAAAAAATGATTGGAACAGAATGAAGCCATTATACCAAGACAAGACAACAACAAAACAAACACTCTTCAAGAATGAATAGACAAAAAAAGATGTTAACCAACTGTTACACCACCAGTCTTTCCATAAGAAAACTTGGGCTAGCTGAGGCCCGCCTTTACGGTACCTACCACTAGTCTCGCCAATTTATTTCATGTAGTGGAGTGACTTTTCTGTACTGATGAGGGCCGCGTTAAGGAAGCAGTCAGACGGGTTTCCTGCCGGTCGGGTAGTGTTGGGGCAGGATGGACCGGTTCTCTATCTATATCACGGTTCGGGATCTTCATGTCCTGGGGGGGGGTTTCCCTACCTTACTGCCTCATCTATTATATGATGCTGCTAACCTCTGCTAGTAGTGGTGGTCTTAGTAGTGTTTCTAGTGGTGGTCTTAGTAGCGTCTCTAGTGGTGGTCTTAGTAGTGTTTCTAGTGG